CAAGGTTGCCCCAAAGGGCGTTTTTGTGCTGTGGGGAGCAGGAGCAAGAGCCCCTCTGAGGGTGATGAAGACCAAACAGTCTGAAGGGGAGGAAAAGTGGACCCAAGATCTCCCACTGAGACCTGCTAGTTCAGCCTGGCCACCATGTCCTACCTCCACTGGGGAAGTTCTCAGGGATTTGGGTCATTCCATCACTGGTGATGCCCCCAGGAACTTCAGTTCTGCCTGGGGAGGGGGAGGGTTTGAAGGAGTTTTTCCACCAATGGCTTTTGTGCTTTGAAAACCCAGCACTGGCCGTGGGGCAGGACTGTCCCCATCCCACCAGGAGGGACACCTGGCTGGGTTTCAGTCATTGTCCCCCTGCTGTGGCCCAGCCTGAGCCAGGTTCTTCCTGCTCCACCAGCAGCTCCACTGAGGGGTCATGGGCTCAGCCTGGGCAGGAACTGGCTGAGAAATGACCTGCCAAGAACAAACCAACCCCTTCTGGGTCCTTTTCCTGAGCATCCAAAGTCTGGATGGGGATGATGATCAGCTCCTCGTGACCTCCCAGCCCACCCTGGGGGGGTTGGCCACGTGTCCCCAGCATTGTCACAGCTCCTGGTCCCTTGTCTCAGAGGACACCCATGGGTGCTGCCACACAGAGTCCCCTTCCTCTGGCCTCTTCCTTCCTTTGAGGTTTTTGCAAGAGAGGAAATTAAAAATGCAAAGAACAAAATCAATTTGGGAGGCTTTGGGGTTTGGGTTTTTTTTCCTTCAATTATTGTTCTTATTGTTTTGTCCTGAAATTTCTAAAGGGAAAAAAAACCCCAACAAAAAAAGGAGTCAGACAGAATTAATCCCAGGCAGGAAGAACCTGCAGCCTCAGGTCTGCTCGTCCAACCACCTCCAGAAATCATAGCTCATCACAGAATCACAGAGTCACAGCATGTCAGGGGTTGGAAGGGACCTCTGAAGATCATCCAGTCCAACCCCCCTGCCAGAGCAGGACCAAAACCAGGGCAGGTCACTCAGAAAGGCATCCAGACAGGGCTGGAAAGTCTCCAGAGAAGGAGACTCCACAGCCTCTCTGGGCAGCCTGTCCCAGGGCTCTGTCACCCTCACACCAAAGAAGCTCTTCCTCATGTTGAGCTGGAACTTCCTGGGCTCCAGTTTGAATCCATTGCCCCTCGTCCTGTCCCAGGGCACAAGTGACAAGAGCTTGTCCCTGCCTTCTTGCTGCCCTCATGTATTGAGAGACATTCATTAGATCCCCCCTCAGGCTTCGCCTCTCCAGCCTGAACAGCCCCAGGTCTCTCAGCCTTTCCTCCTCAGGCAGGTATTCCAGTCCCTTCATCATCCTCGTGGCCTCCCTTGGACTCTCTCCAGTAGATCCCTGTCCCTCTGGAACTGGGGAGCCCAGAACGGGGCACAACACTCCAAGTGAGGTCTCACCAGGGCTGAGCAGAGGGGGAGCAGATCTCTCTGTCCATCACAGGCCCCACTCACCCTCATCCCACACCTGGGAGTTTTTAAATGACTTTTCCCTTTTCATTGATTCCATTTCTTTTTCTTTTCCTTTTGATTTTCTTTTTTTTTTGCTGCTGCTGCTTCTTGTTCCTCTCATGGGGTAGTTTTGACTCTACAGCCAAATGCAATTGTTACTCCTCTGTGTCTTGCAACTCTATTTGTTTCAGCTATTTACAAACGTTTAAAAAAGGAATTAAAAAAAAAAAGAGAAAAAAAGGAAAAAATAATAATAAAAAAATAAGAGTCTTATGTGTCTGGCACTTTATCCAAACTGTGCTGTGTGCTCTGGAGTTTGTTCCTTGTTCTTTGCAGTGACTCATGCAGGGGAAATTACCAGGAACCAGGAACTCCAGCCTGTCAACAGGTTTGAAAAGAGGAAAAAAAAAAAAAACAGGAAAAAAAAAGGAAAAAAAAAAAAGAGTTAATCTCTATTTGTTCATTCTCTCCTGGTCATGACTGTGTTGTATTTCTGCAGCTTTCTGTTTCTTCAATAAATTATTTTCTAGTCATTCACCCTGGAGTGTCTGTGTCCCCCAGCAGTGCTGTGGGGCTGCCCCTTGTCCCCTCCTGATGCTGTGGGTCCATCCCCTCCTGATGTGATGCTGTAGGTCCTTCTGTGGGTCCATCCCCTCTTGACATGATGCTGTGGGTGCTGCTGTGGGTCTGTCCCCTTGTCCCCTCCTGATACTGTGGGTCCATCCCCTCCTCACATGATGCTGAGGGTCCTGCTGTGGGTCTTTCCCCCTGACTCAGTGCTGTGGGTCCATCCCCTCCTACTATGGCTCCCCTGCCCCAGAGCTGCTCAGGCAGGAGCATCTCACCCACCTCCCTCATCCTGGCCTGAGAGCACCAGGGAATAGATTTGGGGATCATGCCCAGGCAGCTGGGAGAGGTTCCTCCTCCCAGTTATCCAGCTGGGAGAGGTTCCTCCTCCCAGTTATCCAGCTGGGAGGTGCAAGGGAAGGACCTTTCCCAGCAGAAGCTTCAGTTTGCTTTCTTGGCAGCATCCAACACCCTTCTGGCCAGAGCTCAAAGAAAACACTTTAATTCTCACAAACCCAGAGCAGATGAGGTCAAAGCTCTTGTTCAACAAACCCATCAAGACGTGTGTCCTGCAGGCAGGTCCAGGCCCCTGGGGCTGATTTAATTATCATAGAATCAGAATCATAGAAGGGTTTGGGTTGGAAGGGACCTTCAAGCTCATCCAGTCCCACCCCCTGCATGGGCAGGGACACCTCCCACCAGCCCAGGCTGCTCCAAGCCCCATCCAACCTGCCCTTCAACACTGCCAGGGATGGGGCAGCCACAGCTTCCCTGGGCAACCTGGGCCAGGCTCTCACCACCCTCACACTCCACAATTCCCTCCTCATGTCTCACCTCAATCTCCCTCTGCCACTTTTCATCCATCCCCCCTTGTCCTCTCCCTCCCTGCCCTTGTCCCAAGTCCCTCCCCAGCTTTCCTGGAGCCCCTTCAGGCCCTGGAAGCTGCTCTAAGGTCTCCCTGGAGCCTTCTCTTCTCCAGGCTGAACACCCCAACTCTCCCAGCCTGGCTCCAGAGCAGAGCTGCTCCAGCCCTTGGATCATCTCTGTGGCTTCCTCTGGACTCTCTCCAGGAGCTCCATCCCCAAGCCCAGCTTCTCTGGGCTTCTGGGGGAGCCCTGGGATGTGCCCCACCAGCAGCTCCATCTGCCCCAGCACTGTGGGTACGGGCTTTGAAGGAGCCTGGGAAGCTGTGGAGACCCCAACTTCTGCTGCCCCACGGCTCCCTGGCTGCCCCCTGAGCCCAGATGAGCCCCTTGGTCCTTCTTCCTGATCCAGGGTGAGCCCACAAACTGTAACTCCTGCCCCAGGCTCTTTATCCCACCACTGAGTTCATGAAACACCTCAATGGTGGAGCAGCTGGGACAGCCCCTCAGCTCTGCTCCTGTGTATCATGGAATCATAGAATCCCAGACTGGTTTGGGTGGGAAGGAACCTGAAAGATCACCTAGATCCAACCCCCTGCATGGGCAGGGACACCTCCCACCAGCCCAGGCTGCTCCAAGCCCCATCCAACCTGGCCTGATCTTGAACACCTGCAGGGAGGGACCATCCACAACCCCTCTGTGCAACCTGTTCCATCATCTCACCACCCTTTGAATACATCTTTTTAAACATATTTTTTAATATATATATATTTATATCTCTTTCTTTTTACCCAAATCTCTCATCTTACTGTGATTTTTGTCATGGCTCAAGTGCTGGCAGATCCCAAGGAGCTGGTGTCCCCCAGCGAGGGCCCATGGGACCCTCCTGAGCAGCTTTCTCCTTGGGTGGCTTGGCAGGGATTTCCAGGAGAGGAGAGAAAAGCTGAAGTACTTTTAATGAAAAAAAATAATAAATCAACAGAATAAAAAGGGTGATCCAGTCACCCACCAGTTGTGCCCACACAACTTCTCCAGCAGCTTCTGCTGATGGACCCAAAGTGCAGCTCTGCAGGACACCTGGTCCCAAGGCCACCAGGCTAGGACATCACCTCAATACTTTGCCCTCCCACCCCCCCCAAAAAAGTGCTTTTCAGGGATCTTCAGCAAACAGCCTGTGGCCACAAGTTGTCCCCAGAGATGGGGACATCAGCCCTGGAGGAGTGGGATGGAGCTGCTGTGGAGGTGGGGCATGGCACATGGCAGCTGTCACTGCAGCTGGGGCAGGGATGGCAAAGAGAAGGAGGTGGAGATGGTGAGGAGCAAGGAGAGACTGCAAGGAGACAGGGTGGTCTGGCTGGAGAAGAAAAACCTGCAGGTAACACATCATCAATTCATGGAATGGTTTGGTTTGGAAGGGACCTTAAAGCTCATCCAGATCCCAGCCCCCTGCATGGGCAGGGACACCTCCCACCAAACCAGGTTGCTCCAAGCCCCATCCAACCTGCCCTTCAACACTGCCAGGGATGGGGCAGCCACAGCTTCCCTGGGCAACCTGGGCCAGGCTCTCACCACCCTCACACTCCACAATTCCCTCCTCATGTCTCACCTCAATCTCCCTCTGCCAGTTTTAAAACTACAGCTCCAAAGGCAACACAACCCAACTTGACAGAAGAACCACCAAGAGAGCAGCACCAAACACCCAGGAACTCCAACCTGACGTTCCTCTTTTCATACAAATCAGAGACTCACAGACTAGTTTGGGTTGGAAGAGACCCTAAAGACCATCTAGTTCCAAATCCTTGGACAGGTTGGATGGGACTTGGAGCAACCTGGTCTGGTGGGAGGTGTCCCTGCCCATGCAGGGGGTGGGACTGGATGATCTTTCAGGTCCCTTCCAACCCATGACTTGAAGATGTGTTCCCTGCAGGTTTTTCTTCTCCAGCCAACCCCCTTGCAGCTGCCCAAGCTTTCAAACCACCCAGAGCTGATGCCATGACTGTCCAGGAGGGGAGGGATACAGCTGGTCCCACACCTTGACATCCCCTTCCCCGTCCCAGCGCGGCGGGAGGTCGATGCCAACGGGGGCAGCTACCAGGAGGTCTTGGGGAGGGGAGACAAAGCCGGGGTCATCTCTGGGTGCAGAGGAGGTGGGGCAGGGCAGCGGGGGGTCCCCCTGGCACGCAGACTGTCCCCCCGGGTGATGAGCCCCCCGTAGCCCTCCTGGTGGGAGAAGGCGTAGCTGGAGCGGCGGCGGAAGGAGCCGCGGGGGACATGGGCGACCAACTCCACCGAGGGCTGGGGGTCCCGCCGGGCCTGCAGGCAGATCTTCTGCAAGGAGATGAGGAGATCAGGGCTGTGGCCACCTCTCAGGGAAGGTCTCAACCCAAAGGGGGAGGCACAGGGAGAGCAAGGGTGGGACCTGCTGAGACACGGTTTGTCTGGCGTCTCCACCGCGGGCTGAGCGGGTGGGAGGGGTTGTGCAAGGTGAGGGTGCCCGTGGGGGTCTTGAAAGCTGCTGAGGCTCTAGGGAACCATCTGGGACCTCTTTGTGCCACCAGCAAGGTATGAGCCACAAGCCAGATGGCAGTGAGCTCTATCCAGGCTGGGCTGGTAACAAGCCCTGCACCAGACCTGCTTCCTAAGCAGCAGCTTCAGGGAGCCCTGGAGGCCAGTTCCTGGCTGCAGCCAAAAGCAGGTGCTCTCCAGGAGCTGGATCAGCTCTCTTGCCTCAGGACCTCCTGTCTGGCCATGAACTGATTTGGGGAGAGGGCCCTGGAGCCAGACTTGGACTCCAATGTCATAAGAGACCCCCCACCAGCAGAGTGATGCTACCGAGGAGAGGTGACATCCCAGTGCTACAGCCCAGCTGGTGGCTTCCCTGGGGTATCTCAGCCTTCCCACTCCCTGCAGCCCCCTGGGCAGCCCCAGCCCCCTCCCCCCACACCAGCCCCTTCCCACCCCTCACCTGCTGGGTGGTGGTTTTGCCCACGAGGGCGCAGTAGGAGCGGACAGTGAGAGAGGGGATGGTGTTGACCACCAGGGCCAGCAGGACCACGAGCAGGACGTAGGGGTCGGTCAGGGCGTTCTGGCTGGCATCTGGCAACACAAGGAGCTGGTGGGTGATGGAAGGAACGTGGGGAGGACAGAGGGAACAACTGCAGGGGACAGGTCCCCACCCACGAAGGTGTTGAGGGGCCTCAAGGGGAGGTGGCACCCAAGTTGGAGTGAAAAATCAAGACGGAAAGATGAAGGAATATGGACAAGGAGATGATCTAGGGAGGTGGGAAAGTACCAAGGCCAGGCTGAGCTTCCCTGGGTTGGGAAAAGGAGGGACCATGGGGATCCCTGGGGCATCTCACCTGGGAAGCGGAAGATGGCAGGGGCTGCCCTGAAGGCACCAATGCTTTGGGTCAGGAAGGAGAAGAGGCAGAAGAGCAGCAGGCTGGCTGTGACCGTCAGGAAGGACAGCACTGTCCAGAACTTGGTGTCCAGGATGATCTGCAGGAACAAGGGCAGAGCACACAGGGTCTCAGGGAGGTTGTGGAGATGCTCTTCTGTTCAGCCACTTAGTCCCAGATTCCTCTCCTGCCCCGAGAAGGATCATTGACTGGTCATGGAGCTGCTGGGGGTGGTGTCAGAGCTCAGGGCTGCAGTCCCTGAACAGCTGCCCCAGGGTCTGGGTCACAGGATCCCAGCCTGGTTTGGGTTGGAAAGGACCTTGAAGATTACCCAGTCCCAACCCCCCTGCATGGGCAGGGACCCCTCCCACCAGCCCAGGTTGCTCCAAGCCCCATCCAACCTGCCCTTCAACACTGCCAGGGATGGGGCAGCCACAGCTTCCCTGGGCAACCTGGGCCAGGCTCTCAGCCCCCTCACACTCCACAATTCCCTCCTCATGTCTCCCCTCAATCTCCCTCTGCCACTTTTCATCCATCTCCCCTTGTCCTCTCCCTCCCTGCCCTTGTCCCAAGCCCCTCCCCAGCTTTCCTGGAGCCCCTTCAGGCACTGGAAGGTGCTCTAAGGTCTCCCAGGAGCCTTCTCTTCTCCAGGCTGAACCCCCCAACTCTCCCAGCCTGTCCCAGAGCAGAGCTGCTCCAGCCCTTGGATCATCTCTGTGGCCTCCTCTGGACTCTCTCCAGGAGCTCCATGACCTTCTTATGTTGGGGGCTCCAGAACTGGACCCAGCACTGCAGGGGGGTCTCACCAGAGCAAAGAGGGATAATCATCTACGTTGACCTGCTGGCCACGCTTCTGATCAAGGATGGGGAAGAGCAGATCATCACTCACCTCCATGAGGACTGACAGCAATGCTGATGTGGCCACTGTGACAGAGAAGGACTCGTAGTCACCAACAACCTTGGTGCCAACGTGGTCCTGGAAGGCCCAGAGTGCAATGTAGAAGCTGGCAAGTGAGGTGCTGGCCCCGTGCAGGAAGGTGACACCAAACACTCGGTAGTTGAAGAGCTCGTCCTGCTGCCCGACCACGTAGAGCTCAGGGAACTCCAGGCTCTTCTTGGCACTCACATCCTGCCAGGAGGGCACCAGCCATCACCCTCCCCACCCACGCTGGGGAGAACTGGGCCACCCCACCCAGCACTCCCTTCTGGAGAGCTGCAGTGGTGGGTCCCTCCACCCACTTGCTCTGGGGTGATGGGGAGCAGAGGCACCCCCAGGACCAGTGCTGGTCTCCAGACGCCCAGGGAGCTGCTCAGTGCCAGGTCCCAGCACAAAGAGCCATGGAGATGGGGAACAACAGCCACTGGGCTGCTCCACAGCCAGCAGGGATGTGGCCTTCAGGCACAGGGGCTGGATGGAGCCTGGGGAGCCCATACCTGCTCCAGAAGACCCACGGCCAGCACAGGGTAGGCAGTGTAGAAGATGTTGTAGAGAGCCAGGAACCAGCCCTCGTACAGCGGCTGGAAGGGAGGAGGAAGCAGCTGTGAGCTCAGGGGGGCTTTGGAAAGACTCAGGAAGGACATCCAGGCACTAGGGGAGAGTCCAGGAGACTCCAATCCAAGCTGTGGGGAAGTCCCCATGGACTTGCCCCAGGGCCTGCCATGGTAGGTGGGCTTTGGGGCTGTGCTGCAGGTGGAGGGGGGAGGCTGGAGCCACACAGTGGGGGGGGTGTCAAGTCACACTGGTGGCACAAAACCTCCCAGTTTGGAGGAAACCAGCTCAATGCACGTGGGATCTTTCCCTGGGTCTGTCCAAGACACAGGTGACTGGTCACCAGTGACATTCCTTAGGGATCAGCACTGGGGCCCATTCTCTTTAGGATCTTCATCAATGGACAAGGGGATTGAGGACCCCCTCAGTCAGTTTGCAGGTGACATCAACTTGGGCAGCAGTGTTGACCTGCTTAGGACCAGGGCAGGGATTGTTCCCCTGTGCTGGGCACTAGTGGGGCCACACCTGGAATCCTGGGGTCAGTTCTGGGCCCCTCAGCACAGGAAGGACATGGAGGGGCTGGAGCGTGTCCAGGGAAGGGCAGTGGGGCTGGGGAAGGGGCTGGAGCACAAGTGTGAGCAGGAGCAGCTGAGGGAGCTGGGGGTTCAGCCTGGAGACAAGGAGCTGAGGGGAGACCTGCTGGCTCTGCAGCTGCTGAGAGGAGGTTGGAGCCAGGGGGGTCGGGCTCTGCTCCCCAGGAACAAGGGATGGGACAAGAGGAAATGGCCTCAAGTTGTGCCAGGGGAGATTTGGATTGGATCTTGGGAACAATTCCTTCCCAAAAGGTTTTTCAGGCCCTGGCCCAGGCTGCCCAGGGCAGGGGAGGAGTCCCCATTCCTGGAGGGGTTTCAAAGCCTGTAGATGTGGTGCTGAGGGACATGGGGCAGGGGTGGCCTTGGCAGGGCTGGGGTAGTGATTGCACTTGATGATCTTAAGGTTCTTTTCCAACCAAAACGATTTGATGATTCTATGATTCTTCAAGGACATCCCAAATCTCCCCAGGGTCCTTTTCCTGATCCAGCCCAGTGGAAAGCAGATACCCAGGCTTTGCACCTCCAAAACTTGGGCATCCCAACACCAAGGCAAGGGGACCCCAGGGCAGCGCGGTGGGACGTGCGAGCCCCACCGGAACCGGACAGGAGCCCCTCCTGGGACCTGCCCCAGGTGTGCAAACCTCCACGGGCTGGAAGTGACCCCCCCCTCCCCTCTCACCTGGGCTGTGAACCCGCTGTGGAAAGCGAACCAGAGCTGGGCCATCAGGCCAGCAAAGGTCTTGTAGAAGAAGTAGCGGAGGAACTTGCAGACCCGCAGGTAGGACCAGCGGCCGTGGACGAGCAGGAGGCGCTGGGGGAAGGAGAACTGGGCCAGGGCGTCGTGGCTGCACTGCACAGCCTGCAGCCCCTCCTGCCCGCTGATGCCCACCCCCACGTCAGCAGCTGTGGAGGCAGGAGAGTGGGGAGGGCTGGGGAGGAGGTGTCTGAGGAGCTTGAGCTCCTGGTGTGATTGTCCCCGGGTTGGGAAGCAGAGGGTGAATGGGGGGGGCAAAGGGATGGAGCCCCTTCCAGCAGGTGGTTGGGCTTGAGGAGTGTGGCCCCAGGTCAGGGCTGCTGGAGGGGGACAGGGACATCTCTGCCAGCTGCCCAGGTTGAGGCTACAAGTTTTGTCAAGGTTCAGCCCTGCTGCCAAAGCCCAGAGGTCTACCCTGCTCCTGGGCTGAGCCTGGACCTCTCCCTCCCCTCCTGGCACAGCAATGGGGAGAACTGGTCTGGGGGTTCCAGCTCCTCACCTCAAAAGGAGAGGGCGAAGGGGTGAAGGTGGCAGATGGGACACTGCTCCCCCCACCAGCAAGGTGCTTCTCCAAAGCCCACCCTGCCCCCTGCCCCAAAGCCTCACTTTTGATCATGTTGACATCGTTGGCCCCATCCCCAATGGCCAAGGTGATGGCCTTCTTGTGCTTCTTCACCAGCTGCACCATCAGGGCTTTCTGCTTGGGGGTCACTCTGCAGCAGATCACTGCCTGGCAGCTGGTGGCCAAGTCCACAAAGGCCTTCTCCACCAGCCTGCCCTGCTCCTGCGAGTCCGTGGCCCTGCAGCCATCCAGCCACCCCCACAGCCACCCCTTCTTCTCCTTCAGCACCTCTCCCGTCTGGAGGATCTGGTCCTTAGGGGAGAGCACACACATGGTTGGGACCTCACCCATCACCCACGTAGTGTGAGAGCCCCCAAACTCCTCCAAGATGCTCTTAAATCTGAGAGGTGTTACAAACGTGACCCCAGTTTTCTTCAACTTCATCACTCAGCAAGTGCTGTGAGCAGACCAGTATGTCCCAGTATGACCAGAGGAGCATGTGGTTACCCACCAGCCTGCATCATCCCAGAAGATGGGTCAGGCATCTCCAACACCCAATTATCAGTTCTCCCCCTCTCCACTTTCCATTCCCCAGCCCAAAAATGGGCTTTTCCCACCCCTCAGGCAGGAGGAACATCTCATATTCCATGTGCTGGTGCCACCAGACCTCTGATAGCACCAGGGCAGAAACAGGGATCTGCCAGTGCAGGCAGGAAGCAGGGAAGACCAACCCAGTGCCACCTTACCAGGAAGTCCCCATTGATGATCAGGGCTCTCTTCTTGTGGGATGAAGCCTTGGGGCTCTGCTGGGAGACGTGGTCACCACACGGGACCTCCCTGCTCACCCAGTTGTTGTTGCTCACCCAGTGAGCCTGGAGGATCTCACTGTGGAAGGAAGGAAGGGGTGGTGGGAGCTGAGCTGGGGACACTGGACACACTACCCAGCTTCATCTGAGAACTACAGTTGGTCTTTGCCACCTCAGAGCTCTGGGGAGATGGGGCTGGTGGGAGTGGTGGGAACAGGAGGGGACAGAGAGGGAGCCCCAGGGGCTCGTTGATCCCAAAAATCAGCCTCTGTCCCTGTGGTTTAGAGGTGGAGAAGCAGCTTAAGCACTTTCTGGTCAAAGCTTGGCAAGGAGGAGGACATTGTCAGGGCAGAACCAGATGGGGAAGCCTGGAAAAGCATCAGGAGATGAGGTCTGTGGACATCCAGGGTGGGGCAGGGAAGGAGAAGCATCTCTGGCAGAATCAAGACCTGCCCACTCTGCACAGACACCTCGGGGGTCTTCAGTGGGGACAACAGTGTTCTGAACCAGGAGGTCACAGCTCCTCACCTGATCTCCTTCTCCTCCAGGATCTCCATGTCATCTGTCAGCAGTTTGCAGGCATAGCCAATGTTCACTGCAGTCTCTGCAACACCAGGTGGCAACAGCTGATGCCCCCACCCCAACCCAGGGCAGCCCCCAGGTCCAAAAGCCCTCAGTGGGCAGCAGCTCCAGCTTGGTGCCACCACACAGGTGGCTTCCCCTGCTCAGTTCCCCCATGGTGACATGATCTGTGGGACACCCTCTTGGGTTAAATGAGAGGAAGAGCAGAACCTGGTTGTTGGCCACTCCCAGGGTCCCATATCTCTGGTTCCTGGCTAGGGGAGAAGCTGGTGGGACCTGGGGTTGCCTCCACTGACCTTGTTTGTCTCCTGTCAGCACCCACACTTTGATGTTGCCCAGTTTCAGCCTTTGGATGGTCTCAGGGACCCCATCTTGCAACTTGTCCTCAATGGCCGTGGCCCCGAGCAGCTGGAAGGAGCACAAGTGGGTGTTGTGACACGGGGCAGGGCAGGGTGTGGAGGTGGGAATGACCCCTGGCTCCAACCCGAGCTCCTTGCCCACGGGTGGGCACCACCTGACAGATGTCTTCTGCAGTGTCCCCTGGCAAGTGCCACAGAGTCACCCCAGGGGGTGGGCAGTGGGTTCACTTCACCCCCCTCCTCCCAGGGAGCCAAACCCCACAGCCCAGCTCCCTGTGGAACCAGTTCCTCCTGCAGCCCAGCCCCACCCCACCTGCAGGTTCTGCTCCATCTCCTCGTACAGCTTGTCCAGCTCCTGTGCCCGGCCCTGCAGCAGGACACTGGCCTCCTGGTGCCTTCTGCTCCACACACCATACTCAGCCTCGCTCACCTCCTTGCTGGCCAAGCACAAAGTCCTCAGTGTCTCCTCTGCAAAGCGCTGCAGAGACAAGAGGTCAGGTCTCCCTTCCCTCCAGCAGGGTGACTCTGCCAGGGCAGATCCAGAGACACACACCAGGATCTGAGGGTCCCCCTCTGGGCTCTTCCTCCCTTCCCCACCCTGCAGCCTCCCCGTGGGCATCCCTGCAATGAACTGGTCCCTGCAGAGCCCTGAGGGTGGGGTTGATGCCCTCTGAGCCCCTGCCCCATGGGCAGGCAAGGTTCTTGGAGCAGAAGGAATCAAAAAGGATGGAAGTTCTGAAGCCAGAGGGGCAGCAAGGGACTCCAGGACACTCAGCCCAAAGGCAGCAGCAGAGGGACCAGCCCTTTCCACCCCAAGCTGGTGTGGAACTCACATCCAGAGCCATCTCGGTGATGGTCTCACGGGGTCCTCTCCTCTGCAGCCTCTCCAGGATGACCGTGTCAGCCCCCTTGGTGTAGAGCCGGATGGTGCCCTGGGGGTCCCGCACTGCCAGGGGAGGGAAGGACAGTTTAGGCAGCTATGGGGGTGGCTCCCACTCCTGGCTGTCCCCACGGGGTGGCCCTGCTGCAGGAGGCACCCCAGGGAACATCGGGGCATTCTGCCCCAGCTCTGCGCCACCAGGATCACCCCTCCTCTGACACCCTGGTTTCCTCACTCTCTCTTGGCTGCTCCAACCCTTCTCATCTCCAACCCTTTCCATCTCCAATCCTTCTCAGCTCCAACCTCTCAGCTCCAACCCTTCTCAGCCCCAGCCCTTCTCATCTCCAACCCTTCTCAGCCCCAACCTTTCTCAGCTGCCTTCACCAAGTGTCAGTAAAACCACAGGGATGATCAGGACAAACCTTGGTGCCAGCTGCAGTCCATGGTGGCCATCCCAGAGCCACCCCTGGCATGGAAGGGACCCCCCCTGCTCCTGCATGGCCCCACGAGACCCCCCAACCTGCCCACCCAGGACAGACATCCTCTTGCGATCGCTGTTGAAGTCCAGCATGGCCAGCACTTGGTAGGTCCTCTTCTGCCCCAGCTCACTGATGGTGATGGTGTCTTGTGTGCGGGCCAGGAAGACATACCCCAAGCTCCTGGCTGCCCACACCAGGGCTTCTTCATCTGGTGAAGCTGCCTGATAAACCAGCTGGTCTGCAGAGGAGGAGTAGAGTTAGACAAAGAGATTCACAACCAAGCAGCTCTTGGACATCTCAAACAGCCTGTTATTGTCCAGCAACAACATTCTCCATTACACCCTAAAATCCAAGCCACCAGGTGAGGGAAACTCAGTCCTTCTTCAGAGAATCACAGACTGGTTGTGAAGGGACCTCAAGGACCATCTAGTTTGAACCCCTGTGCAGGGACACCTCCCACCAGCCCAGGCTGCTCCAAGCCCCATCCAACCTGCCCTTCAACACTGCCAGGGATGGGGCAGCCACAGCTTCCCTGGGCAACCTGTGACCTCTACTTGTCTCATCTCTTCTGCTCATTCCTCCAGGCGGAAGAAATTCCCAGGCAGGGTTGGATTATCCCCCTTGTGTGTCAGTTCCAACCAATGACCCTTAAAACCAACCCAAGTGGACACATCCAGGACAGTGACACAAAGCAGCCCCTCAAGCCACCTGCTCCCCACCCAGCAGAGCTTTGTTGGGTGATGGAAAAAGCTCCATGGCCTTGAAGGGCAGCTTGACCCTGCTCTGAGAACGTCCACCACCATGGCCAACCCACCATCCTTCTCCTCCACCATGACAGTGTGGCAGAGGGCCAGCAGCCTCAGGAACTCCCTCAGCACGGGGTCACGGTCCTGCTGGGTGGCTGCCAGCAACGTGGGGTCACAAAACTCCAACTTCTTCTCCCCGTGGTGGCTCCAGGTGGAGCTCAACCCCTGCAAGAAACACAGGCAGGAGCCCGGGCTGGAGGTGCTGCTGGTTGAGAAACCTGCTTGCCTTGTCCCTGAGCAGCAGCTGAGGACTGGCCAGCTCAGCCCAAGGAGCCCATGGGACCACAGGGAGCAAGATGTGCTCCACAGGGAGGGGCTGGGCTTGCTGCTGGTGTCACCAGTTGGGCCCTGTAAGGAGCATCTGGCCCCAGTTCCAGGGGAGAGGGGAGTTACTCACCCGTGGCTCTTTGCTCTCCTGGCCTGTGCCTGGACCTGCCAAGATAAAACCACCCGTGTTAGCAGGGAGCTGCAGCAGTGTGGCCACCAGGGGCTTCCAACAGCTGCTCCAACAGGGACTTGGTGCTCCTGCTGACCAGAGGCAACATGGGGAGGGTTTTCAGCATCTGCTGGTGCTGGTCATAAGGCTCTGCTAAGGTATCCAGGCTTGACTTCAGGGAATCCCAGCCTGGTTTGGGTTGGAAGGGATTTAAATATCATCCAGATCCAACCCCCTGCATGGGCAGGGACACCTCCCACCAGCCCAGGCTGCTCCAAGCCCCATCCAACCTGCCCTTCAACACTGCCAGGGATGGGGCAGCCACAGCTTCCCTGGGCAACCTGGGCCAGGCTCTCACCACCCTCACACTCCACAATTCCCTCCTCATGTCTCACCTCAATCTCCCTCTGCCACTTTTCATCCATCCCCCCTTGTCCTCTCCCTCCCTGCCCTTGTCCCAAGTCCCTCCCCAGCTTTCCTGGAGCCCCTTCAGGCACTGGAAGCTGCTCTAAGGTCACCCTGGAGCCTTCTCTTCTCCAGGCTGAACACCCCAACCTGACTTGTTTGGCCCTTGAACTGCTCAGACTTTTCAACCCATTTTTAACATTAAACATTCAGGTCTGGATTTTCACCCACGTGTCCTGGGACTTCTCTGCACAGACCAGAGCTCTGCTGCATCACAGAGGTTCAACATGATCCATCAGGCAGGAGAAAATTCCCTTTATTCCCACTTCAAAACTTCGCTGGATGGTTTTTTTTCCCCCTCCTCTTTGCTTTGATCACTGCCCAGTTGTCAGTTTTCTCAGGAAAAAGGAGCTCCAGGCTCAAGTTCTAAACCAACTGCATTTGACTAAGGAAGCACTGAGGCAGCTCCCAGAAGCCAACTGAGATCTTGGGTGAAGAAGAAGAGGAAGGACTTCATCCCCCTCAGGTTTCCAAGGGGAAAAACAAGGAGAATCATTAAAAACATATATACAAGAAGAAATAATAATAATAGTTAAAAATAAAAGGCAAGAGCAGTTAAAAAGAAACACATCAGGAAATGTTCATTTCTTTGCCTTCTCCACAGGTCACCTGAAAGCTTCAGAGTGTCCATGTTTGGAAACCAAGCTGAAGGCTGAGCAGGAAAGGATGCAAAGAAAAGCAAAACCTCCTTGTTTTTTTAATCCCCAAAACTTTCATACCAAATAAAACTCCATGAGCTCCACTGGCCAGTGGCCCTGCCCTGGCCTGGCCACCTGGGCCAGGTTGTTGTTCCCAGTGGGATCCACCTCACAGGTGGTTTTGCCATCAAGGTCTGCTGGGCTCCTAACCCCAGGCTCCCTTTTCCCTCAGGGAAACCCAGGTGGTCTGGGCTGAGTTTGGGGCACGATGCAGCTCCTGAAATTGGGGCACCCATCTGAAGATTCACTGGGAGCACAGGACAAGTGTGACCACAGCTGTGGTGGCCCCTGCAAAGCACTGGTAAGATGGGAGGTGGATTCTTACAGCACCTTCTTGTTTCCATGCTGGACCATGGAGGTCCATCCACATGCCCCAAGCTTCCTAGCAAGCCAGGAGGAATGGAAAGAACCAAATCCAGGTTTCCCTAACTCCTGAGTCTCTACAAAGTTGTTTCCACCAGGAGTTACCATAGATGGTCCCGTTGATGCAGCACTTCTTGAAGCTCATGATGTTCTGTGTCAAGGTGCCAGTCTTGTCTGAGAAGATATATTCAACCTGGCCAAGCTGATCGTTGAGGCTGGTGCTTCTGGCTTTTGCTGGAATGTCCTTGGCAGGATAATACATCTCCAGGTCCCAGTTGATGAAGCAGCTGTTGACCAGGTAGATGAATTCAAACCTAGGGAGGCAGGTAGAAGAAACCTTCCACTGGGCAAGGAGATCACGTTTGGATCATAGAATCATGGAACCATTTGGGTTGGAAAAGACCTTTGAGACCATCAGGTCCAACCATCAACCCAGCCCTGCCAAGGCCACCATGTCCCTCAGCACCACATCTACAGGGCTTTGAAACCCCTCTAAGTGGAAGGAGTGAGGAACTGGTCTCTGGTCACTCACAAGCTCTGTTGTCCTTACGTGATATACATGGACATGGGGATGATGATGCTCAGGAGGATGGTGAAGCCCCAGAAGCTGAAGAAGGCCTGCTGGACAGGAGTGGTGTTCTTGTAGAAAGCAGAGAGGTAACTGTGCTTCTCCTGGAACGTCCTGGCCCAGAACCCAGAGGCAATGGCAAGACACAGCGACGTGACCAACAGCACCAGGAAGATCTGAGGTGGGAAGCCAGGATGAGAAGGTCCCACCACACAGAGCCCACCAGACCCTTCTCTAATGGTTTGTCACACACAAGTGTCAACCTGCTGAAGGTGTCCTTGTGCATGAAGCTGCTCCTCAGAGCTGACCCTGGGCCAGGTGGAGGATCACAGCATGTCCTTCAGTTGGACACATCCCCAACACACCCACAGCAAAATCCAACAACCTTCCCACCCCCCCAGCTGCCTCCACCACCATCTCCTTGGGCAGGGGGTGTCCTGCAGCCTCCCTGCTGAAGTTACCAGCAAGCAGAGCAACACTAGAAACCAACCTGAGCAGTTGATGACACTCAACCACCAGGAAGCTGAACAAGAGCCACCCAACTCCCAGGTGTGACCAGGCTGCTTTGCTTCCCACAGAGGGAAGGCTCCTCCTTCCAGCTCCTCAGTGCTGAGCTACAACCTGCAGGTCCCTCAGCACAAACCACCTCCATGGACCCACATGGTTATGGGTGAGTCCAGCAGGTCAGGAGGGCTTGGAGACCCTGACTACTCCAGCTCCCTGCTTTGAAAGAGGCTGGTCAAAGAGGCTGGGCTGGAGCTGAGGCCTCAGAGGTGCCTGGCTGCAGAGTTCAAGCAACACAACCACCACACAGGCTGCTCCAGACCCAGCAGCTGCCCCTTCCTGGGGACATCTCTTGACATTTGAACACATGAAGCCCAAGATACTTCCATCAAAATATCACAAGCTCAAGACAAACAGCATCACCCAGGCAAGCAGCCTCTCATCAGAAGGCTTGTGAGCAACCGCAGGAGACCAGTGGACCAGGGCAGGAGGTGTTTGCACCACACTCACTATGATCACCAGCCGGTCCATCATGTGGTCTAGCTTGGTTTTCTTCCTCTTGATCTTGCCACAGTTCCTCATAATTTTGGAATCAAATCCTGGATGAGAAACATTTCAGAGGTAAAAGTGCAAGTCCCCAGAAGGTTGAACTGCAGCTCAGTGGTGCTGGTTTCCCCCAGAACAACATCTCCCCACCTAGGAAGGCTTCAGAGGAGCCCACCTCTTGCTCAGTTACTCAAGCCATGGTTGCACAGTTGGAGTAGAGCTTCTCACACCAGATCTTACCCCCTCCTCTACCCAAAGCTCCTCATGGCCAAGCACTCAGCTGCCCTGACCCATCTCTGCAGGAGGCCACAACCTGAAATGGACCCAGGATGGGCAGCAGCAGAAACACAACCCAAGCTGAGCAGGTGTTGGCTACAACCCAACACCCTGGGACAAACTTCCATGGGCTTGGTTTGAGCAAGGAGATCATCCCACTTTGTACCACCTGAGAGTGGGACCAGCCCCTTTTTTTAGACCCAAGTGTTGCACCTCCCAGCTGGGTTGTCTCACGTAGCTGCAAACCCACTGGAGGTGTCCTTGGCTGCTCCTCAGAGCTCACCTGGCCCAGGGGCAGGATCCTGGTGGGACACATCCCCAACACACCCAAAGCAAAACCCAACCCCCTTCCCAACCTCCCCCTGATGCTGGGGCAGCATCAGACCTCCTGGTTTTCTGGCCCAACCCCCCCCCTGCCCTGCCCTGCCCTGGTGTCCCACCTGCATAGATGACCAGCCCGTAGCACAGGCGGGTGTTGCGGACGCGGCAGCCGCGCAGCAGCAGCTTCTGGTTGTCCAGCCCGTGGGTCTGGCCCCTCCAGGCCAGGGTGCCCGTGAAGCTGTGCATGCGGCTGGTGGGCTCCTCACAGCTCACCCGCCCTGCAGAGGGGGGCACCAGTCAGGTGGGGGCTTGGGAGGAAAGCAGAGGAACTGCCCCATCCCTGGAGGTGGGATGGGGCTGGAGCAAACTGGGCTGGTGGGAGGTGGAGGCTCCAGGGAGACCTTAGAGCAGCTTCCAGTGCCTGAAGGGGCTCCAGGAAAGCTGGGGAGGGACTTGGGACAAGGGCAGGGAGGGAGAGGACAAGGGGAGATGGATGAAAACTGGCAGAGGGAGATTGAGGTGAGACATGAGGAGAGAATTGTGGAGTGTGAGGGTGGTGAGAGCCTGGCCCAGGTTGCCCAGGGAAGCTGTGGCTGCCCCATCCCTGGCAGTGTTGAAGGGCAGGTTGGATGGGGCTTGGAGCAGCCTGGGCTGGTGGGAGGTGTCCCTGCCCATGCAGGGGGTGGGACTGGATGAGTTTTAAGGTCCCTTCCAACCCAAACCAAACTGGGACTCTGGTTCTATGAGAAGGTACAAACACAGCTTCCTTCATCCCCAGGGTCTCTAAGAAGAATCCCCTGGAGAACCAAGGAGGAAAATAATCCAGGGTCTGAGCTCAAGTTTGGGAGCCAAACACTTGATTCCAGTGGGCAAATCGATGTCCAGGGCAGGAGGAAGGTGCACAAGCCCAGCAGACCCATCACAGACCCAGCTCTGGGGAAGGACTTTGGTTCCTTGCAGGCAGGAGCCAGGAACCTTGGACTGATGGCACTTGGTGGCTGAGGGGACAGAGGCTTCCCGAGGCTGAACCCACCCCATCCTGGTGGGATGGCCACATCCTCCCCAACCCCAGGGACTCACCATCAAAGGCAGCCATGCTCTCCTCACTCACCAGCTCCTGGTGGGTCACCAGGAGGGCTTGTCTGAACTTCAGGTTCGTTTCCCTGGGAAGAAGAACCAGGGAGAGAAAAATGAGACGACCCTGGAGGTGACAAAGCTCTTCATTCTGCTGCCAGGCCCATGGGACAGAGGTGGCCATTGATTATGGGGTGACTACATGAGTGGTGGTGATGGAAAGCAAGACAGGGACCTGTCACCCCAGAGATGGAGCAGTTATGGAGGGAAAGTCTTGGCCTGGGGACCCTGCCATGAAACCATCCTGCAGGAGGGGTGGGAGGGACAGGAACCACTGTCCTCCTGTGGGCTGGGAGGGAGATGCTGAGAGATGCTCGAGGTCATCAGCTGCTCTGTGAAAGCATCAGAATTGGGTTTTGGACTCCCCCAGATGTCAAAACTTGTGGAATAAAACCTGTTTCTGGGGTGTCTGTAGGTTGAACTGTTGGAGGAACATCCCGTGGCTTCTGCTGGACTTCTCAGGGTGCCCCGAGTGCTGGTGGGTCCCCAAGACTGGAGGTTTATCCATTGGCTGGGATGTCTCTGCCCCTCTCCTCCCATGGCCACCATGGTCCCCAGCCCCTCTTCTCACCCATCAATGTCAGTGGTCTCCACATAGCAGAGGCTGCTGGGCTCTGAGCTGCACAGCAGGAGCATGTCAGCCTGGAGGAGCAGGGAGGGAGAGAGAGGACATGGCTGAAAAATCTGGCCAGGACACCCCAAACCTGCCTGAGCCCCTCCTGGTGACCCCAAACCTGCCTGAGCTCCTCCTGACCTCCCCAAAACCTGGTTGAGACCCTCCTGGCCACCCCTTCTGGCCACCCCAAACCTGCCTGAGCTCCTCCTGGTGACCCCAACCCTGCCTGAGCTCCTCCTGGTGACCCCAACCCTGCCTGAGCTCCTCCTGGTGACCCCAACCCTGCCTGAGCTCCTCCTGGTGACCCCAAACCTGGCTGAACCCCTTCTGGCCACCCCAAACCTGCCTGAGCCCATTCTGGTGACCCCAAACATGCCTGAGCTCCTCTTGGTGACCCTAAACCTGGCTGAGGCCCTCCTGACACCCAAAACCTGGTTCTGGTGACCCCAACCCTGCCTGAGCTCCTCCTGGTGACCCCAACCCTGCCTGAGCTCCTCCTGGTGACCCCAAACCTGGCTGAACCCCTTCTGGCCACCCCAAACCTGCCTGAGCCCATTCTGGTGACCCCAAACATGCCTGAGCTCCTCTTGGTGACCCTAAACCTGGCTGAGGCCCTCCTGACACCCAAAACCTGGTTCAGACCCTCCTGGCCACCCCTTCTGGCCACCCCAAAACTATCTGAGCTCCTCCTGACCCTCCCAAACCTGACTGAGCTCCTTCTGGTGACCCCAAACCTGGCTGAGACCCCCATGGCCATCCCTCCTGACCCCCCCAAACCTGCTTGAACTCCTCCTGGTGACCCCAAACCTGGCTGAGACCCTCCTGGCTACACCTTCTGGCCACCCCAAAACTGTCTGAGCTCCTCCTGACCCTCCCAAACCTGACTGAGCTCCTCCTGGTGACCCCAAACCCGGCTGAGCCCTCCTGATCCCCCACCCCAACCTGCCTGAGCTCCTCCAAACCTGCCTGAGTCCCTCCTGGTGACACCAAACATGGCTGAGACCCCCCCCGCCCCCCCCTCTGCACCCCCCCCA